ATCATATTCATGGGTGTGTTATGAAACAGGATGCGTGAGTCTTTGAAGAGCAGATTGTGTGTGTGTGTGTGTGTGTGTCTGTGTGTCTGTGTGTCTGTGTGTGTGTGCATGCGCTCTACATGGGGCGGAATCGGCATCACCTCGTCCAATTAGTGAGAATAACAGGATGCCTTGTTTTGTTAAGATGTTCCTGTGTTTCACAGTGAGATGTGTGTGTGTGTGCTTGTCCTCAGGAAGGAGGTGCTAAGATTTCTCTTAACAGAAGGGCCGAGACCACGAACAAGAACCCTCCCACGTTTATCTCTATACCATTGTCTCACATCTTCTGCTGTTCGTACATTTCATATTATTTATTTATACTTCCTTTCAACATAAACACTCTTCAAGGGACAAAAATGGACCACATTCACACAAAACTTAAACACATTAACATGTACCACATCTGGCCACAGGAAGGTAGGATGTCAGCCAGATTTATTTCTGTGTTTCCTTCAATTTTACTCGGCACTTGTGTAGAATAGAGGCACAGACACATGCTGGCAGAGTCCCACCTTTTGCTCTCTGCAGGGGTGTTTAGAGGGCCCTTCCTGGGAGGCAGGCAGAGCAACACAGCTGTGTTTGCCTATGCAGTGTTTATTATTAACAAGGACAAGAGATAATGAGCAATCAAGACAAATAAACTGTTAATAATAAATAAAAACAATAAGAGAATATGGTATGTGCAAATTAGCAAATTTTGTCCTCTTCTTGTTTTTTGTACTGCGCCCTGGATGGCTTTTGCCTTTTTCATTTTCTCATGATGCTCTCCACTCACACTCCTCTCCACCATTTCCCTTGTGTTCGATTATGGTTTGAATGTCAACATTTTTCTAAATGCGTACCCTTCTTCCCCATACGCTATTTTTTTTCTTAAGTGTCTCAACTACTGACTAAACCAAGAGAGCCGCTTACCAATTTCAACGCAAACATACATGTTTATCATTCTGTACGTCAAATAAAGAAATAGATAGGTTAATTTTCCCAGCATGGAATGAAGCTAAAAAAATTATTCAATTAATCCACTGGTTCCCAACCTGAGGGTCCCGACCCCACTGGAGGTCCCCAAAGCTTCGCGGGGGGCTGCGAGGCCTTCTTAATTTAAAGTGGTGTGAGAAAACTTATTAGAAAATTAACCATAGGCCTATATCTCAGCACTTTATTCATTTCTGTGAAGAAAACTAAATGATTTTTTTTTAAAACATTAGATTATTAATCAAGATATAAACTTACAAAACATCTCACAGAATAGGGACACATGAAGATGTGAACACAAGCTACAATCACAGAGCCTTGACTCTGCAAAACAGCCTCGTCCTGCATTAGAAAAGTACGCGTAGAGCTCACAGACAATGACCAAGCGTCATGGAGGAGACACAGAATTTGTGGGAGAAGAAGCCTAGTAAGTGTGTGTGATTGCTGAAATTTAAAATAATGATATGAATACATCAAAAATTTCCTAAAAGTTTCAAGAAAACTCATGTCTAATTAAATACTTATTGCAGCTACTGTGTTCATTATTTGTGTAAATTGTACAGTTTACCAGTTATTATGTACTGTTGTTACTGTTATGCATTAAATGCCATATAAATATATCCATAAAACGCTTACTCAAGGGTTGGCAGTTTATGCAATGACAGAAAATGGGGCCCTTAAAGAAAAAGGCTGGGAACCACTGAGTTAATCAACTAAATCTGGCACTCAAGAGTATTACCATTACAGCTATGTTTACTATATACTCATTTACAATCGTTTTGTTGAAAAAATTAGTTATTAATCGGTCAACCAATGTGCTGTATAATAACCTTAATTCACTGCTCAAGATCAATATCATTATCGTCATTTTGTCATCATATTTGGAAATGCTCAGCTGTCATCTGCCAAAGCAGAAGAACAGAGAGGTTATCAACTACTATCAAAGACAGACTGAGAGACAGACGGGAAGAGAAATGACAGAATGACCAGTTTTTAATTCCTTTTCCTCTGTATCCCAATCACAGGCATAACTCACAGGGTTATGTAATCGCATTTAAGTGGTCGTCCCAAAGCGAAAATAGCATGTGAAAATACCAGCCACTGAGAAGAGACCCATTCATCTAAAGAACAGGAGGCCAACACACATTCAGACAGCCGGCTCTAGTTTCATCTCACAGTTTGGCAACCGGACACACACACACACACACACAGATTGGTATGCTGTCATTCAGGAGCCACTAAATCAAAGTTGGAAGTGACATTTCCTCATATTGTAACACCAACTAGTTTTGTCGAGGTAGAAAATTGACTGAAGCATTGTAAGTGTGTGTGTGTGTGTGTGTGTGTATTTTCTATGGATCTTAAATGGAAAAAAAATCTGTGATGTCAACTTTGCATAGTTGCAGGTTTTGATTATTTCCACCCCCAAAAGTGGACACAACTCCCCTCAGGCTGTTATCATTACTCGCGACCAATAACACATTTCACCCGCTGGCTGCTTATTACATGATGCATTTTAAAACGCTTGCAATAATTGTTAAAGTTGTTGATGTGATGTTCATGAAGAAGCAAGCTGGGGTGTCAATGTCTGCCTATTATATCTTACCAGAGGTAATTTCACACTTGAAAGCCTGAGATTATAGTGCATCCTCAGTCTCTCCAGGAATGTGATATTAATTCAAGAATGTGGGCTGGTGTAAAGAAACAGTTTTACTCGTATCTTCCCACACACACGAACACAAAGTTTTCTTTCTTTCGCACTAATCTTACACTTGCTGTGTTTTTATCTGCAGGCTTTCCCCTCTCACCTCATTAGCTTGTAAGATATTCTTCCTGTGTTTGAGCAGGAGGAGAAAAAGGCACCACAAAGGGAGATTAATGCAGTTTAACACGTGCCAAACTCAACTCATTAGCATCCATGACAAACCTGCCTCTTTTGTAATGTTGTCGTTTCCATCATCATTATTGCCTGATTGAGTTTTACTGACAACATATGCAAACATATGCACCCACAACTTTTGCAATAACAGCATACAAATATTTTGCACCGACAACAGGTGCAGGTGCAAGAAAAAAAAGTTTTCTGTGATAGGGAGACCCCTGCAAACCGTCAGAGAAAAGGTGCCATTTCTTTACAGCTGTCTACCCTTTGCTTGGAGGAAATCATGTCTTGCACAGTGTATTTATCTAAAAGGGGAATCCAGGGTCAGTCCACTCTCAACCCCTGTATTCTTATCTCCAGATGAACTGTGGAAAAACGGCTGAATCTGTTTTTCAAAAGGGAGCACTTCATCTGCTTCTGTAGGCCTTCTTATATACAAGGTCTTTCTTTGATGAAAAATAACGTGGAATTGGATGGTGTCTTCTGTGATTCACATCCTCTCTGCAGGCAGTCTGACTGTAAAGCCTTATGTATTCCTAATTAATGCTGCCACCTACTGGGTAAAATATAAGCTGCATGACTCATAGTCAATTTTCCATAATCAGGGATGCACTGATCCAGCACTACCATGATTAACTAAATCGAATATCGGCCGTTATGTATTTGATCTGGATTTAATTTTCTTCATTAGTGTCCTATAAAAATTCAGTGTTTCGATTATCAGTTAGATTCATTCTGTCATAACAGGCTGGCAACTCTTTTTTTTTTTTTTTTTTTGCAATTCTTGGCCTTGTTACTTTACTTGAAAATTATTCCTACAACTTTTAAGACGTACAAATGTTAAAACTGAGATAAGGATAGCACTGGTGTTGCATCATCACTCAGGTATTGGTATTAGGAGAAAATATTTTGGATCTGTGCTTCCCTAATTATGAGTTATTTTCCCCTTTTAGTAGCTTTTAAATTGGAAAAAACAGTGAAATATTCAGACACGACACTATTCATGTTTCTCTATGGCTGCACCATTCCATCAAATATAAATATTTCCCCCAAATTTTGCCCAACACATTTGGTATCTCTGAAGATGTGTTAGTAATGACAGATCTACCAGCAGGTCAGTGGTTCATTTCTACAAACAGATCCTGCATTTGTATGCAGAATCTGTCGGGATCAGGACGAGACTTTGGTATCACAAATGTTCTGGTTTCCATCCGTAGTTTGGTTGTAGTCTGAGCAGAATTGACCAATCACGTTTGAATACAGCAGGTAAACAATCCATGAAATGCAATCTCAGACCCTACTAGCTATCATCTGACAACGATTAAGCTTTATGTCAGGTTTTATTTCACATCTGCAGTCATATGTAGATATCTGTTTATAGAAATTAGCCAAAATGCCCTGTCCACATGAGAGGACATTTTGACTCAGATATCCACTGGCTACACTGGATCAGCCCAAAATATTAGCCGTCACCCCAAGAGGCTTTATCATCGTCAGACGATAGCTGATGGGTGCCAAGACTGATTAGTGTTTAATCAGTGACAAGTCTGACATTGTGGTGCATATAATCAGTTTCCCTACAGAGAGTTAGTTCAGAAGATCAATGTGACTCCTGTGTCTGTGAGCTTATCATAGACTGAGAGCAGGGGAAGGCAATTATGGAGTCTCAGCTGGTTGCCTGGCAACCCCAAGAAACAGCTACAGCACGTTACATCTCCTAAAACCATTTTTTCATTCTTATATTTCTTTGTGCAAATGAAACAAACAAGACTGACTGTGTTAGCGTAAGGGAGGCTGGTGGGTGTATTTATTAGCTTAAGATAGAGCTAGGTTAGCTGGTTAGCTCTCCTACTTCTAGTCTTTATGCTAAGCTAAGCTAAACGCCTCCTGGCTTCACTTCATACTCAGCACATATGAATGAGTGTGGAATTGATTGTCTCAGCTGTTGATAAAAAATAAAAACACTAGCAAGCGTGTTTCCCTAAATGTTGCAGTATTCCTGTTAAGATCCAAAACACATGGACTAAAATCTTAAGTGTTTCCGTATAAAGCCATTGGCAACTAATACCAGCATTTCCATTTTCTCTTTCTGTTCTACTGTGTCCAGGGTCTTTTAATGTGAACTTGCGTCCACCTGATGTCCTCTTCAAAGTGATCTTCTGGCTGGGCTACTTCAACAGCTGCCTAAACCCCATCATCTACCCCTGCTACAACCGAGAGTTCAAGCTGGCCTTCATCCGCATTCTACGATGCCAGTGGTCCCAGCGCAAACGTCCCGGCTGGAGGGCCTACAATTACCGCTCCTCCAACTTCAGCTCCTCCGGACACTCACGCAAAAGCTCAACGGATCACAACTCCAGCTGCTTGAATGGCAGCCAGCGCACTCTGCCCTCCTCAGCCAGTCCGAGCCCAAGCTATCTGAGCCAGGGTCTCCCACCTTGTCCTGAAGGGGAAACATTATACATCTGGGGGGCCAGCACCCCAACTCCCTCCACACCCAATCTGCTGCCTGGCAGCCCTGCAGACTGCCAGGCGGGAGCTCTAAGAGGGGAAGGAAGAGGAGGGAAACCAGCTGAGGAGACTACTGGTGGCATTTTCTCTTTCTCCTTTGGGAAGAATAAAGACAAGGGAGGGATCAACAAGGACAGCACGGTGCCTGATGACAAGGTGTGACCTCTGAGTCTCACTGAGATGTGACTCGTTCATTCCTTACAGGGATTTAAGTCACAAACAGAGCGTGGATGTAGGATTTCACAGGTTTGCTGCATTCACTGTACATGGTCCCATGATCATTCATCAGTCAGTGCATTGTCGTTGTCATTAGTGGTCAGTGTAAGGTGAAGGTAACTGAGTATTGACTATGCTGCTGTATCAGAGGTATTTTGTCCTATGTTACTGTATCTGTGGTTGACATAGAAGGGGAATTTCCTTTAATGGACAGTTAGGGGTGCAAGACAGTTCATCAAAATCACTGTTCCCTGCCCTCTCTGGGACCAGAAAGACACCACTGCATGCATCCTGATCAAACATTAAAATACATTGGAGGGGAAAGGACACATTTTCAGAAACCCAACACAGCCTTCCATTCAGTCCATATCTGCCCTGTAAAAAGACTCGTGTAAAATGTGTGATAAGACAAATGATCACCTTGCTGTTGCAGTCACTTGATATCTTCATGGTATGTTGTGGAAATAAAGTATAACCTGGTTTATCTGCTGTGCGCACAAACATCGGATATCATCTTGTTTGTATGTTTGATGTTCAAAAAGTTCTGAATATCAGTATTAGAAATGTGATCGATACAAGAATAAACACAGACCATTGATCAAACGTTGCTTGGACGCAAAGTCTCTCTTTAACTTGCGCCGGTATGTACAATCATAGATGTTCATTTTTATCCGATGAGAAAAGACTAGAGGTGGGTGTTGCTTCTTTCAAGTAAAACGGTGTGCTGATTGAAGAGAGGGGCATAGTTCAAGCGTCTAAGGCAGGGGTGTCAAACTCATTTTAGTTCATGGGCCACATACAGCCCAATTTTGACTCAGATGGGCCGGACCAATTAAACCACTGCATAGTCAGTAACATCAGCTCCAATATTTTACCTTTTTCTGTGTAAGGAATTACATTCAGTAGACGACCATCCTTTTACAAAATAGCTGAACGGTCTGAGACGTCTTAAGAAAAATAGGTGCAATTTCAGTCTACATTTCACCTCCATTACATGTGCATTTATTCATACATTTCCTGATACAGATTCTTTTGAACTGAAGCTGCTGACTATTTTGCGCAGTGTTCAATATCTTTAAACATGGTCACGGTAAGTATTTATTGTCATATCAGAAAACTGTATTCTTGTCAGGGTGGAAAAGCCTCTGAAGCAGAATTTTACATGAAGTCAGCATGGAATCTATGGTCCAGCTCTGGCCCACAGGCCGTATGTTTGACACCCCTGGTCGAAGGTGAAGAGCAAACTATTCAGGGCAGTGGTTCTCAACCTTTCTTTTAAATAATGTGCCCCCTTTGAAATATTTCTTCAGCCATGTACCCCCTGAACAACATAAATTATTTTGGTGGAACAAATAAAAAAAAACAACACAGCACTGTGCTATCAGGGACTGATTTACTTAAAAACAACCTTGTAACTAAAATAAGACCTAAATGCTACATATGAAATGTTTAGAATCCATTCCGACCTTCAGAGCAAAACAAATTTTTGTCATCATGCAATAATGGCATTGTAGTTGCATTGCAATTTTTTTTTAGGAATTATGTGTGACTGATATTTTGATGCCTTCACATAGCCATGGCTGGAGGCAATATGTTTTTGGGTGTCCATCAGTCTCATTAAGTGAATGTGACATCTCAATAAGGCCTTGAAATTAAAGCCCCTTAAATCTGGCACAAACATCCGCTTTGACTCAACGATGAACTGATTAGATGACTGAATTTGGTAGTCAAAGGTCAGAGGTCACAAAACATAGTTTAGGCCATAACTCGTATGCTAACTATGACAACGTTTTACATCCAAAAGGTCAAAGGTCACCTTCATTGTGACATCATAATGTTCGGCAAAAACATGTTTTTGGTCATTATTCAACACCATAACTCAGGAACAGCTGGAGAGACAGATACTGAATTGGTGACACAAAATTTGGGTGGTCACCTTGAAACTGTGCTGACTGCACAGATCTCCGTGCTGCCATGTTGAAGATGTGCATGAAGCATCCACATTTTAGAATTTGTAGCTTCTTTGCAGCAACATCTATGTTTAAATCATTGCCTGCTGTCTTGGCTACATGTGAGTCTGAACAATCAAGAATGTAAAATTAAACTTGACTTGTTGGCCAAGGCATTCAACCACAAGGTGGTAATTCTAGCTTAAAATAACATTTAAAAAAAAAATCTCAAATACCCCCTGCAATACTCCAAAGTACCCCTAGGGGTGTGCTTACCCCCATTTGAGAAACATTGATTTCGAGGAACATTTCACATGAGAGGAGTAAATCCGAGGGTTAATTGCTGATATAGACAGAGACCTTCAATCCCAGCTCGGCTGTTATACATCTAACTGTAAACACCTCCTTGTTCTTTTATCTCACAGCTCGCTGACTCCTGCTGGTTGATCATTTATTCCTGATAGACCTTGTTTTGACAAAGGATCAATACCTGACATCTGCACACACACAGGAACAGGCAAAGAGTCTTGTGCACATCACAGAACACGCAGCTTCTTTTAGTCTGGTGCATTCCATCGACACCTGACACTTTGGGTGCCACTTCTGCTGAGCGCAGTTCTTGCTGGTCACCTTCGGTACATCCTCTATTTTTAATCTGAGCTGCGTGGCATTAGACTGATACGTAGCAGTGTATGATCCATTGTACTACCCTGCTCGAATGTCTCCCAGACGTGTCACCATGCTGCTAAAACTCTGTTGGATTCTGCCTCTGTTCATCTCCTCCATCTGCATCTCCTGCTGTGGAAAGCAGCAGCACACAGGATACTTAGACCTGTCTGGCCGTGTTTCATGTGCCCTACGCCTTTGCAATCTCTGCAATTTCTTCCTCATTCCCAAGGGTTTTATGCTGTCTGCCTATGGGAAAACCTTCAGAGCTGCCCAGAGACAAGTGAGGTGGATCCATGCAATCAGTCACCAAACTGGGCAGCTTCAGATCAACTCCATGAGGACTGGCTTAACTACATGAGTCCCAGCTTATATGGAAAGATATTCTCTGAAGAAGGAAAGGAAGGCTGCTCAGACACTAGGTCTGATTACTGGGGTCTTCCTGTTCTGCTGGCTTCCTTTCCTCTGTGTGAACATAGTCCATCCTCTGACGGGCTGCAGCGTCAGGTCCCTGGTCCTGGAGGCCCCCATGTGGCTCCAACATGCTAACTCCTCTCTGAACCCTTTCCTCTATATTCAGCAACAAATGTCATCATGTATTTGTAGCCATCTTAGACTGTGGGATTCTCATGTCCCACAATGCAATTTGATGGCATCTTTCATTAGACTCTCCTGTCCTGGTAAAGCCAACATCTTTGAAAACTATACATCCCTGTTTGTCACGCTGTCAGGCTTTCTGTTAGAAATTTTTATAGTCAAGGCCCAAGATAACCCTGATGTCATCATCAGAGTAGTTTTGCAGTCTTTGAAAAGCTCCCTCCAGAATCATAGATAATATTAGACAACTGCTTGATAGGCAGGGTTGTGGTGATATTTGTTGACAGTACCAGAGTGCACCTATTGAGAGAGAGGGAGGGCTGCAGCCAGCAGCTGTGCAACAAGCGAAAATGTAACCAGATGGGGCAATTGTGCACCATCATTGTGCATCAATTAAAAGTGGTTATTTTTGCAACAGACAGGCTCAGATTAGTATTGTAACTTTCATCTCTTTATTTTTTGCTCGATCCAGTCTCTTTATTATTGTGTCTAAGTCCAGCTCAAGAAGAAGACTCATTCAGAAATCTGACAAGGTGTGACTTGTTGCAGGAAGTGAAATGCTGGAAATGTGAGTAAAATAGAACAGTGTGTTGTGTGTGCCTAGAGTTATCTAAAAAAATTTCAAATTGTGATTTGTGATATTGGGCTTTATAGATAAAATTGATTGATCGATCTATATAGGAGAACAAAAACAAATTTGGGACCAACAGAGCAGTATCGCGCAGGTTGTCCATTGTATGTCCTGTTAGTAAGTGGTAGTATTTAGCTGTGATTCCTCTGGGGACCGCAGTTTGGGTATATGGGTGCCATTCTGACTCATAAAGCAAACTTGCTGAAAGGGGACGTCACGCTGTATTCACTTAAAACTGTTAACAACTTTTTACAATCTGTTCACAGAGGACCAAGCTCAGGACCCATAACACCTGCAGTTAACTATTTGTCATTGTTTTTTCTGGCCCATACCGTAGCTGCTAGTGCACCCCCACTAATTTTAGATGCAGTTTGTTCTGGAACCAGGCCTGTGTTATCGTCATCAATGCTAGTTAGCTAGCTAGCATTAATATAAGGGGAGCGTACCTATGTTCCCTGGGTTCTATGTTCCCCGGGTCCTATGTTCCCCGCTTTGTATGGGACCCCAAAAGGGTCCTACGTTCCCCGCTTTGTATGGGACCGGGGAACATAGAACCCTTTTTAATAATAAGGGTTCTATGTTCCCCGCTTTTCCCCAAAAGGACCCGGGGAACATAGGCCCTTTTTTTTTAAAAAGGGTCCTAACCCCTAACCCCTTTTTCTCAAAAGGTTTCTATGTTCCCTGGCAACAGCGGGGAACATAGAAGCCTTTTTCTTAAAAAGGCTTCTATGTTCCCTGGTCCCATACAAAGCAGGGAACATATTTCCTTTTGGGGTAAGCGGGGAACATAGGACCCTTATTTTTTTAAAGGGTCCTATGTTCCCCAATCGGGGAACATAGAACCCGGGGAATATAGGGATGACCCCTAATATAAGCCAACACATTGGCTAGTCTGAGGTGGGCATGGGCCTGGTTTTATTTGTTGTGGCATTTTTAAGATGATTTGCTTGGGAGTAAGCAACAAGCCTGAATAGCTTCATGCATGAGAGTTTATTCTCTACAGAGAAGGCACAAAGTGAGGCTCAAAGCTCAGAGTTTGTGCCCAGAACAGTGAATACAGGGCATCTTTATACTTGCACTCAGATGACAAGATGATGAGAAATCAATTGTAGCTTTCTTGGGCTTTCCTGATTTAATTATGTTCTCTTGATTACATCAGAGAAACATACCTTTTGCAACATGTTAGGTAATCAGCTGTATCTGTTAGACAGTCAATGGACTGTCTTTGAAGATGAGATTACAGTGAATGTAAATCTCTTGATGTCAAGTAACGACCGATGTCTACAAAAGGGGAATGCAAAGGTCACACACTTACAAACACATAGGAAAAATGAAACAATGTAAGCGTATGCATCAAGAAGACAAAAGTTCCACCACACATCATCATTTAACTAACGTTGCATCTTCATAAACTTTGACCTGTTAAGCAGTTCGAAAAAGTTAAAATATGTTTTGCTGCCTTTTCATCTTAACTAGTTAACAGTTAGCTTCTGAAAAAAATAATACAATTTACTGTGCAGCTCAGAGGCTACCAGTAGTACCGGCAATCTTTAAGGTGGAATGTTAACACACCTCAATATGACAACTTTCACCATTCTGCTTCTTTTTATCTGCTTACTCTGGGCTGTATCAGTGAGAGACAACAACACAGTCAGCATGTTGACACAAGGATAGAAGAGTTTAAGCACAGACTAGCAGCCACTTTATTTTCCTTCACCTTACAAGTAAGATTCATACAAATACCAGAAACAACATGAATTATCTTTTCATTCACAGACATTTTTCCACACGTAGTAAAGACAAAACTTAATGACCCATCAGTAAATATCCAAAATTGACCTTAATTAACAAAAAAAAAAAACCAGCCAAAAAAAACAGTGCCCTCCCTTTTTGTTCACGTGAATGATTTGTTGTTTATCATCTACATTTACACATTATCAGCAGACACAGTTTCAGTCCACACAAGAAATAAATCCAGCGTTAGTATTATACTCTCTTTTTAAATATGTTTTAGTCTTAACCTTCTCCTAATATCAAGCTCTTAAGCTGCTTAATGCTCCACTGTGTTCACCACTTAGTTGTGTGTAGGAGAACTACAGTGGCCAACGCAAACACACAATGGCCCTGATGAGAGCAGGTGTTTGGTTTCTCTGTTCTGGGCGACTGGAGAACAACATGGACGACTCTGTGGAAGAGGACCTACTCTGTATGTAGATATAAATGGCTCATTCAGGCAATGAAAACACAACCTAGTTTCAGGTGATTATACTCTATGAATTAGATTCCATTTCTGCCAATATATCCCCCTAAATCCTACACACTGTACACTTAATACAAGAATACTCATCAGTGCAGCACTGATCAAGTTCTTAAGAGTTGATTTAACATATTAACAGCTCAACCATTGATCATGTCTGTCACCTGATATGACTTTTAGTGCAGAATGAATTAGGAGTGTCTTCATTCTTCATTTCTTTCTATCAGCAGCAGGGTTGAGTTTGGGTTTCTCTCCTTCAGTCTCTGCAGGAAAACCAAAATATATATCAATGCCATCAGATAATTGTTCAAAATAATATTTCACTGTGCACTAAACTGACATATGAATAAGATCAAGGCCTCCCTCACTCATGAACGTTGGCCAGCCCTGCTGAGACAGACCTTACCTGACTACACAGGTAGGCCAGAGGGCAGCCCCAGATCAGCACAAAGCATAGGGTCTCTGCTTTGAAGGTGAGTTAACAACTTCCTGCTGGCTTTGCGTCCTTTCATCCGTATCATGTCGATGAGGTGGCGTGCCCTGTTTGCACTGGTACTGTTGTCCTGAAGTATCGAGTCTTTCTCCCCATCATTCAAGACACCATCCTCCAACAGATCATCCAGCAGCTGGTTGATAAGCTCTGTGGACACCCTGTTCACAAGTCTAGGCCTCAGTCTGGCAAGCTCCTTGTCTAGAGGAAAAAAGTGGGAAAAGAAAAAAAATAACAGGGTTGGACCTAAATACTGGATTGTTCAGATTGTCACTTATCTGGTGGGTATTCAGTTTCCAATTTTGGGTGTTTTTTTCCCCTTTTTTTTGAGGAACAACAAAAAGAAAATTATAAATAAAAATAAATCACAGGGTTTCCCATACATTGATTTATTTGTGATGGTCCACTACTTTATCAATATTGACTGCCACTATTTTCTATTTTCTGTTTGTTTACTATTTCAAATGGGTAAATGGGTTGTTTCATTGCAGAGCTACACACAGCATATTAATTCACCCAGCTCCTCCTTGCCCTGCTCCCTCTCTGTCTTTATCACAAGAGCTCTGCACCGGAGACAGTTGGGCTAACTGTTAGCATCACATGGCTAAGGGCTTGGGTACATGCAGTGTTTTTAACCACCTGGAAAACACGATGTCGATCGGCAGGCATTGTTTTTTAAGTGTCTCTGAGGCCTAAAATGTTGTTTCCGTTATATGGGTAGCCTTGATAAAAAATAAATTTAAAATAGCAACTGCTTCTCCATATGAGTCATAGACTCATATTTAGGGAAGAAAGGGATACTATCTAACGGCTGTGATTGGTTGTTCCTCATCACATCACGGGGTGTGTGTTGCTGGTTCCAAAGGTGGAACGTTTTTTATCTTAGGGTGCAGCCGTTACGCCCTGAAAAACAGACGCTTGAGAATGCCTGTGTGCTGCGACAGCATCACTCTCCCTTTTGAGTGCACCTTCCACGTGTCTCCATTGACATTATATTCAAGGGGGCAAAGAAACACAGGATGTGTGCGGGCCCTAGTGTTAACGATTATTGACAGCTTTAACGACAGAGATGAGCCATTTCAGTGTCGGTGTGAGTTTGTTGGGACTGTTTAACAGCTCGGTATTGGATGTTAGCCGCTGCTGCTGTGGTAGCTTGTGCTAAGGGGCAGACGCACTGAACATTTGCCAGGAGAACAGCTCTGGAGATGTTCCTTCAGCCCTGCGTCTAACCTGCGTAACAGACAGGCTAAATCTTATGATCTCAAATCCTACATTTGTGGAGCTAGTGTACTGTTTCTGCACTTGTGTTTTACAGCCCTTTGTCAGACATCATCTCAAATTTGGAGCCTGTTATTATGACCACCCACCTCCACCCCAGCCCAATTTTCAAATATTCATTGTTGATTACTACCAAAGCCCAAAAAATGCTATTTGGGAAAGGGCTGCAATGATTAGTCGACTAATTGATGACTAATCGACTATTAAAATAATCGGCAACTATTTTAGTAGTCGACTAATCCGTTTGAGTCATTTTTCATAGAAAAGTACTATAAAAGTACTCCAAAATACTTTTGTTGCAGCTTCTTACGTTCAACTATTGGCAGCTTTACACACTCTCCCATGATGTTGAACTAAAACCCTTTGGCGTGAGTACAAAACAAGACATTAAATGACAATAATTTGGGGGTTTGGGAGAGACAGACCGACATTTTTCAACATTTTAACACATTTTTTGATAAAATGATTAGTCGACTAATTGAATAAATAATCTGTAGATTAGTCGTCAATGAAAATAATCGTTAGTTGCAGCCCTAATTTGGGACGCCAATTTTTTTTCCAAGAATGACAAAGGCATGACCCACCCTACTTTTTTTCTGATTTGCTAGTGCTCGTTGCCTTCCTTATATTTCATACATGTGTATTTCTACTGAGTATTCATCACATATTATGTCTTACCATATATCACCTGAACATCACCAGTGTTTTGATAGTCATCTGAAATAAAATCCATATAAACAATATGTAAATTTTATGTTCTTCATTCACTATACAAGACACTTAATTTAAGCCATTTTAGCTAAACAAGAATGATATACAGGTGCCGTAAATACACACATCACAGAATATCATTTCATCACCACTGACCTTTTCGCATTGCACAGGTCCACACTTGTCCACTTGTTTTGTGTCTGAGTCCGAGCTCGAAATTACTGTCAGGATCGACAATGAACACTTCGAAGAAGTTTGGGTCACACCATTCATATATGAGCTTTAATTTCTGTGACAGAAATATATAAAGGGGGAAGGAGCAGAGTTAGACTTTGTGCTGAGGTCAATTTTTAAAATGTGAGAAGTTACACGCCTGAAGAAAAATGTGCTGATATCTTCAGGTGGCAAGCCACAGGAGCTGTATTTTACCAAAACAATGCAATGACAGGACATGATGACGCCTCTGCTCTGCTCAGTGTGCCTGTATTCCTGGCTGTTTTTCTGTTTCAGGATGCGGGTCAAAGAAGAGGGTCGTCATTAACCTCATGAGCCACATCAGGGCCTGGCCATGATATAGAAGCTCACCACCTACCAACAGAGCCTCCCTCTTCGTTTTCACCGTTCGGTTACTTATTGTTATTTTGTAAATAAATGAGCTCTTATAAGTATTTGTTCACTCGTCTCATTTCCCATCATTGTTCCAGCCTAAGAGCCGGGATTAACATTATCTTTTAGAAAATGTTGACATTTTGGAAAACGTGCTTGATCTGGCTGGTAAATCAGAACACAGTTAGCTTAGCTTAAACACTGAAAGCAAGGGGAAGCAGCTAGCATGACCGTGTTAATCCTTATGTTTGTCCATGAGTTTCATCCTTAAATAAAACGCAGTGTATTTAACAAGTTGTCATTTTACTAGAGATAATACAGACTGTTAGTTAGCTTTAGAAGGTGCTGGTCAGCAGATTCTGTAACCTTTGGACAGAGCCAGGCTAGCTGTTTCCTCCTGTTTTCAGTCTTTATGCTATGCTAAGCTAACCATCTCCTGGCTTTAGCTTCATATTAGTCCATTTTATTTATTCATTTTATGACAATTAAATCAATAAATAAATACAGTCCAAACTTTACCTTGGGGTAAATTTCTGCAGTGTCCATATCAGCTGTGAGGATGAAATAGTCGCGCATTTTCAGGGATTTTACTGGGTAAGGCTTTTGGATCACTCTGCATCCACTGGATAATTCCTTGTTCTGTATTTTCTGTGGGAGGAAAAAAAGACATCATCAGCACAAAGATGCTTCAAGGTTACAGCAGCCAACATTGCTGACTGTGTTTTGAAGTGTGAATCAACATGGTGCCAGTAAGATATGTAATCACCTCTTCTAGAGCCGGATCACAAGGGATCACATAGACATGCAGTGTGAGGTATGTTTTGGTGGTCTTGTATATTAACACTTTACAGTGAATTCTCACGGAGAAGCCGGCTCTCATCAGGATTTCTCTTGGAGAGAAAGCTGGCTGAGACAACTTGACATGGGATGATGTGACCTCAGACACTTGTTCCACAATGTCTCCACATGTATCTATGTGGAGGACTGCAAACTTGTCTAAAACTGTAGGGTTGTCTTCTGCACAAAACACATGTGTATAAAGGTTTTTAAAGACATACATCAAACATTACTGAGGTTGTTACATCTTGTTTTCATCGTATGATGTTGCTTACCTGTGCAGATCCAGTGTGGCAAATGTGCTTCATCTAACTTTCCAGTAATGACTGTAATGTCCAGTAGTGGACCTTCATTGATGTACTGCTTGGTTTTCATTCTGTCCTTGTGCCCCTCCCAAGAGCAAAACTGGTACTTGAAGCTGACCTTTTCCTTACAAACCCAGCGCAAGCCAGACACACTGCATTCAAAGGCACCTGCTTCAGACTGCAGGCTAATTCATGAAAGGGAAAACAAGTATTGTAAGTTTGGGTCTCCTTTGGGCTAGAATATTGTTAGATCAGAAATATTGTTAATGTAAACAGAAAACAAAATCTGCCTTGTTTTAATTTGCTGTGAAATGTAACAATACCACGATAATTGTAATTATGTATTGGCATCAATGTTAAAACACCGAAAAAGATCGTAGTTTTCCTTCTGTGAAAATGTGTTTGCTGTGCCAAAGTATTTGAAGACATTTTTTTACCTGTAAATTGGAGCATCGTCTGCATCCACACAGTTCACTTCAGGCTCAAGTTTAATCCAGTCATGCTCAGGGAACAGATCACTTCCTGTTGCCCCCACACTCAAAAGAGGATCATTGTGTGACATCTGAAACAGGTTAAAGTAATAACTTACTGTAGATTCACAGTATATTTGAAACAGTAGTACAGCTGATACTTTTGTTGTGGTGAGATAAAAAGAGTCTTGTAAGGTTCTGTATGTGACATTCAGAGCATTAATGTAGCGGCAATCAACTATTTGCTGTGTAAAGATTTTAAAGAGTAATGACGTCCTGAGCAGAGAATGAAGTCACGCTCACTCAATGTGCTGTTATTCGAGCTTCTCTGTACTTTGTTGTGGTCGACGGTCCTGTTGTGAGTGCTGTTAAATGCATGTTGGGCCCTACACCACCTTTAAAAAGACCCTTAAACAGTGGTTGAAAACAAGCCAGACCTGCTCTCATGGGTAACCTCTTCGTTTTTTCTATTTTGCATATGGACTTTTAACCTTTATGTGAATTGGGACTTATTTTTTGTGTAAGATTTCTACATGTTTTATCCATTTGTCATGGTGTATTGTCTGTATGTTTTCTTTATGACACCTGCCTTAGGACAACAGATGCAATTTAGCAACTGTGCTAACTCCGGCATATTTATATTGATGCTTCTTGCTGACATGTTGATTAATGTGCATTGTCCTAATCAATTAAATAAATTTTTAAAAAAAATTTTAAAAAAAGACCCCGAATCACAGATATGCTCTGAGTGTCACATACGACTCTAAAACTACAGGAGGTAACTTTATGAAAAGACTGTTGTCACATTGGCTGAAACTGTCACAACATATACGAAGTATTAGAGACAGATAGTCTGTGAAAAGATTATGTCCCTCCTCCTCCCATTGCCTCTGGTGGCATTTGCTACAATCTACCACAGTGCACCAAAAACTACAAATCAGACCCAAGGAGTGTCTTTTTTTTTTTTTTAAGATATTTTGAGGTCTGTCTGTATTGGACAGGCCAGGATAATTGTGAAGAGGGGAGAGGGAGGATGACATGCAGCAAAGGGTTGCAGCAGGGACACTGTCTTTGTACATGGGACACCTGCTCTACCTACTGAGCTACTGGGCACCCGGAGTCTCTAACGTAGCTGTCAATTTTGTCAATCACTTCATGAACTGCAGTCAAACTGTCAGACTTGACAGCACTGATCAAATCTGAATCAAAATTCTGTTACTCCCTATTTTCATAAACATATTTTAGTGTACTGTTTAGCTGTAAAATAAAAAAAGTTTATGACCTGACCACTATGGTGGAAACAGTCAACTGCAGTCACAAGCACCGCCCACTAGGCGGACCAGCTCTCTCATTTTACAGCTAACCAGTACATTCAAATATGTTCCTGAAAACATTTGAGGTGAAAAACAGGCAATGCAGAAACAGAGTCTTAATATTGTATTTATATATTGATATTTTAACTGTTGACTCTTGATTGTAATCATCAATCCATGCATGTCAAAATTAAAATAAAAGTAGATGCAAAGCACAAACAACCTGCTGCAGAGGGCAAAAAGGATGCTTTAGACAGCTGAGGATCTACTCACATGGACTGGTTCTGGGTCATTAATCCCACGCTGTGCATCAAGTCTGAAATAATAAAGGATAATTGATTATTTTTACTGATGGCCCTTGCAGTCTGTTTCTCCAGTTGGCTTAAGGAAACATACATTTTATTTATTAATTTACTCATTTTAAGTATAGAGATTAGCGTCACTGATCAAGGCAGAGACGGCAGTGCTACACATCTGAAAAAAAATCTATGTACACAAAGTATCAGTTGCAAATAAAGAAAGCCCAAAGTAAAAGCCTGTGAGTTTACGGTAACGTCTCCTCGGTGAGAAGATGAGGCTCCAGTCTCTCAATGATGCTGAAAAAGATTTCTTTGTCTCCAGCAGTTTTCAGATGACCATCGAGGAGTTCCTTCATCTTCTCCGCCGAGGTTGGGAGAGCACTGATTTTATCATAACTGTCCTGTTGAATAACTCCCTTGGTGAGGAGCTCATCCAAAATTGGTTCAACGTTGCTCACACCATGGATCAGCTTAGCTCTATTTTTTCTCACAAAGAGCTCCCCTGCAGAAAAAGACAAAGATAAATAACTCATTGTTGATTTATTGGATTCACTGCAAAATACTAAACATACTTTTGAAAGAACAAAGGTAGGCTAATATTTTCAAACTGTGAATTTTGGAGTTAAAAAACTGCATCTATGTACAAACATTTAGCCTAATGTTAAATTCAAAAACTTTTCATTTCCCATAATAGATCCTTCAACAAAGGTCCCTGGTCGGACTGAAACCATTTTGCAAATCAAGATAGCACCTTAACCTATGGGGTACTGAAGTGCATCACAAAACTGTGTTAAGATTTTTTTTCCTACAACATTTTTCAGGCAACAAACAAATTTAATAAGAATTCAGAACATGAAGATGCCGGGGGATATCAAGCAGAGCCCAAAAAAGGTGAAAAATACAACAGAAACAAATAAGTAGAAATAATAACATATAAATAAAATCAAAAGGAGAAAGAGAAAAGATAATAGATTTTTTTTTTTAAAAATAGACTTAAGATATAAATTTAAAAACAACAAATCAAAACAAATTTTTCTGGATCCTAAACTTTTACAGTATATGAACGAGCAATTATAGATCTCAGCTAGCTCAATGCAAAAAAATGTATTGCATTATTATGGAAAGGGATTTATAGACCAAGGATTACTCAGTGGACAAAGCAGATGTTATCAAGTCTCCCATTAGAGAGAATAACTTACGTATTAAACAGCATTCGTTTGAATTTATATGGGGACCCTTCATAGATGTTGTAAAGGATTTAGATTTAACAGGTGACGTGAGTGAGTAGGTTCCATGGACGATGCAGTTTTCAAGTTTATAATTTATTTTCAAATCATTCTGTTTTGCAATTTTTTTTTCTAGACATCTGGATTTAACATATGTCACAATTAATATACTCCATTTTATGAGTACTATTTTGAGACATGACATTTGGAGATTTTTACTGGCTTGAACAGGAGCATAACTGTTTGTTTTTGTTTGTTTGTTTGCGTTTAAGTATGTTTGTTGTTGTTGCTGTTTTTGTGATAATGCAGCAGGCCTTTATATTTACAAACATTGTATGAATGAAAAGAGGCTGTATCTTATAATGTTGAAAAATACATAAAAATATTGTGGCAATAATAATACTATAATGCATGGTGAAGGTAACTGGAGACCATGCAGTATAATGTTGAGGGTACGACATAACTGCGTTCATGTTGTCTGAAATAAGAAGTGTTTTCATATATTGTTGGGTTTCTTTTAAGAACAATTTTCAGCAGGGCTTGACTTTAGTACCTTTGCTCTTATAAATATGGAATATGATGAGCACAAAACAAATTCAGGAAGGATATGATCAACAATGAAAACACTAATATCACACCAAACATAAGGTATCCTACATGAGAGCAGCTCCAATGTAAGTGAAAGGTACTAACAACCCTCAAGCAACAAAAGAGTCAACATTAAACTTTAAAAAAAAAAAAAAAACTTTAGCTTGGGAATATTTCTGTAAAAGCGCAAAGAAAATTAATACTTTAACTTTGTTGTTAGACATTTCTGAGGTGAACTTCTTCTGTTAATTTCTTCTAATAAGACTCATTTCTTTAAAAAATTACAGCCTTTGAAGGAACAGCAAAGGAAAACAGAGGGAATTTTAAACATTTTGTGTCACCTGGCGGACTTTTGGCAGCAAACGAGTGGGTAGCTCTGGGTGCCGACAAAATGCAAGGGAAATCAAATACTGCTCATTTGCATATAGCACCCACGCTGCAACAATACAAAGTTGCATCAAAAATCTTACTTAAGTAAAAGTACAAAATTATTACCATCAATATATAGTTAAAGGCGCTGTATGTAAGAATGTGGCCAAAACGGTTACTGCACTCAAATTCAAAATACTGTCGCGAGTCGTGTCCGCCCCCCCCTCCCCTACAGATTCGAGGTTGCTGGACAGCGGCACGCTGGAGACTGATTTGTTTGTCCACGGGCAGCTGCCGTGGCAGGGCTGCGTCGCCGCGTCCTTGATCTTCGGTTTTCCAGCGGACCGTTCGAGTAAGTCCGGCTTCTCTGCTGCTAACGGTGCTGCCGAGATACAGCGGAGGAGGAGCCGGCTGCTAATGCATTGTACCGGGATACTGCTAATGCTGCTTGCCGTGCTGCTGTAGCTCAGTCGTAACTGATGCTGAGACTCTACTGACTGTGTGACTGGTAGACGGCGGCCAAAACACAAATTCAAAACATAAACATGATTTGCGGACCGTAAAATTTTTTTTTAAATGCGAATATTCTGGCTGTACTATTGTTGTAGTGAGATCAGTATGTTATATGAACATTATTCCTTAGTCTCTGTGACATATTAGGAGGATTTTACGACTATTTGCTTTATATTTCTTACATATAGCTCCTTTAAAGTACCAAAAGTAAAAGTACTCATTATGCAGAATGGACCATTTCAAAATTATATCTATTACATAACTTAATTAAAATTATTGAGTAAGTGAGCTCAGTAAACAGCAGTCACACAGCAGTCACATAGCAAATTGAGTACACAATATAAAAGAATGCCTCTTAACATTCACCTTTGCAAGTATGTTAGTGCTACAGTTGACATATCATTAGGAGGTAAAACAATAGCCCCTTTAACACTACCTGTTCAAGGCGGGCATATTACGCCATTATTCCGCCTCGCCATTTTTTATAAAAGGTAAAATTGCAGAATGGGGGGGCAGAGTTGTCTCGCCTCTAAGCCGTCTGGGTAAAAGGGACCAGCGGCAGGACAAAACAGACGGAACAGGTGTGATGTTTTGATGATGTTTAATGTGTGCAACCCACAACTACAGTGAAAACAGTGCAGTCAGTTTCATCAATCAAATAACGTCTCAAGAGAACAACAACAAAAGAGACTCACCCGTTCCGGGATAAGAAGACGATGCTCCCATGGCTGCCAAAATGAGAAAAATGTTAAAAAATGTTGACAGCTGCCTTCCTAATCACGTTCTTTTTCTCTTTCCTTTCAGTGCATGCTGCAGTTGCAATTGACGACAAGGGATACGTCCCAAGTCCCTTCATTTTATACAGCTAACTCCTTACTTGAACCGGAAGTCGTTCGAGGTCCGCCATCTTTAAAGCCGTCTCATGTCTCTTGGGCTCAATCCCAAACCACTCCCTACCCACTACCACTTCACTACCGAGTGTCACTCCAAATCAAGATACACTCGCAGCTGTGGAGGGCACTCTTGATTAAGGGGAAGTGTATGAAAGAGAAGCCAAACAGATGATGGGACGCCCTCGCCACTCTACCGGAAGAAGGAAGCAGATGTAACCATGGATACCGACAGACGCTTTGTGAAAGCAAAATAGAGCAACATGGCTATATAAAAAAACATTTAAATATTAATTAAACTGAGATACATTAAAAATAAACTTGGATAAGTCAGAAAAGAGATACAGTGCAGTGTAATCAAAGTAATTAACTTGTTCATATTTTCTAGACACAGTTTACACATTCACAAATTAATTCATCTGGGCAATCTTACCTCCATCCCATTCCTCTTTTTAGTGAAGAGACTCTCATTTTTAATCTGTAGATCGATTAACTGCTTTGTTTTTTCTTCTGTCCCTGTGAACACAGATTTTTTTTTTTTTTAAATCATGAGAATGGGATGAGGAATTTTTTAGACAGTTTTAAATAGTTTATTTAAGCATATGGACATGGAGGTTTTCATCTTTTGACACCAAACATTCTGTGAGTTTGTTTGAGACTGTAAAGTCAGGGTGAGGAAAACAAATGTGTGTGTTTGATCTAAAATATTTTACAAAGTAGAAAGACGGAACTCTTACATTTGTACGTTGTTTCCTCCATTGTGATGTTGCGCTTCCTGCTGGGCTCATCAGAAGTCTGCACTGATGCACACTCGCTATCTAAGGGCTGAGCAGTCCACTGGCACTCAGCGGTAATTGGTTTGGGACGGCCCTTAATATGGCGAAGCGCCGTGTGACCACGCAAACGGAGGGGGAGTGAATAGGGTGAGGGGATAGGGGCCGGTTTGGGATTGGGCCTTAATCAGCAATCCTCGCTCCTCACTCCTAACTCCTGACTCCTTGCATGTTTTCCTAAGTGGGAGAGACTAAACAGTTAGGTAAGGTGGCTAGGTTAGGTGGTTAGCAGTAATTTTAAGGGACATGGGACGTACCCAACGTACATACTGTTGCATGGAGGATGCATACAGGTGGGGCATACTACTTTTTCAGCATTGCACTTTGAACTTTGACCCTCTTGCTCAAATATCCTTATCCTTATTTAAAGCCCAACTTGCAGGTTGGAGACCATGGTGAATAAATGTGAAGGAAAATGATGTAGAAACTTGATTTAAAAAAAAACAAAACAAAAAAACATATACGCACTACAGTAGCATTTGGGGTCATTTTTGTGAGAGAATTTTGCTTCCTCATATTAAAACCCACTACCCGGAAGTTAGTTAGTTCAATTGAGTGTAACATTAATAGGCTCATTCGAGATAAACTGTGCCTCGCCTGGAAAGTAGACGAGGGCAGGCGGCCGCAGTTTCAATTTCCCGACAGTTTCCAGCAGCCTTCAGTCCGTACAGGAAGTCACAGACACACCAACATCCTGTCTGGCATGATGTCAATTCATTAAAAAAGTGATCAGACCCATATATCAGTTTGTTTTCAGTCTCCAGTTGTTTTAATTATGATAGATTCATTTATTAAAATGCTTTACAGGTGATATGTAGTTTATGTTGGTTTATCCTCCATTTGACATGAACTCTCCTGTAAATCAGCATCATATCAGTTTGACCTGTCCCCTCAACTACACAGGCTAAATAAACTGTGTTTGACTATAAGGTTAATATTTTCAGAAGAAAAAAAATACAAGACAACAGCTTTCATTAAGGCTCAGTCAGATACAGTCAGGGCTTCATATCTGATGTTATTTTAAGAATCTTCACATCCCACTGACCACAAGTCTCTGTGTTGCTAAATACTTAAAAAGTCCAGTGTTAATATACAGTAGACTCTGTATCTAAAACGCCATCTTGTTGAGTTGACATCTGAACCAATCAGCTGTTAGATCAGGTGAGAGCCAGGCGGTGCAGTCGGTGGAGAGCAACTGCAGCGCCTGGCTCTAAAAACTGTGCGCCGATCGCCGGTGATCGAATCTGCGCAGGCCTGGCTCATCTCGAACGAACCTATTAATAAACATGGATCCCAGTACTAGTTTTGAGACTGAAGAGGTTGAAAATGTACATTCATATGCATATGATGGCCCACAGGCTTATAATTATGAGTCTGCTAGGCGTCCAAGAGACCAGGAACAGATCAGGGTTAGGAGAAATAACGGCCACAGGAGAGAAATAGAGCTGTGGTGCGAGGAGAACCAGTGGAGAACTGGGCAGGTGTCTTGGTGAGCGACCAGCGTTAGCTAACGACAGGTTAGGTTCGGTTATAACAAAGCTACCAATACTTCTGCCAGTATTAGATAACTAATGCTACTTACCCATAACAGAAACTAATGCGCAAATATCAGCTTGTATCAGACGTATCTTGCTATGCGTGTTATAACTCCGCATTACGGTGTATTGATGTCCGCAGGGGGGAGAGGGAGAGAGAGAGAGAGGTAAGAAGATTTCCTGATAATTTTTTGTATAATAGGCGCTTGTGTGGGAACTGACAGCCCATGTCCTCAGCTGTGGAGAGTATGTGCTGCAGGGAGTTGGATGCCTTCTGGGCTCTGGTGGAGAATCTGACCAGACCAGACATAACATGCCTCACACTGCCCATCAACCCTCACGCGCCCGCTCCCCTCTCAAACACGGAGACCTCCCTCTCCCCGGAGCCCGCCCGCCCTCGCACATACCCCTGAGGCTCGTGTCAACCCGAGCCACAAACAGCTCCGGTGCCGCGGCGCTCATTTTGGACAGGAGGATTATGTTCTTGGCGGAGCCCGCCCGCCCTCGCACATAGGCCTACCCCTGAGGCTCAGGTCTCCGTCTCCGCTGAGAGCCCCAGACCGCGGAGAGGGAGACCTGAGCTTCACTGGTATGTGCGAGGGCGGGCGGGCTCCGCCAGGAACATAATCCTCCTGTCCAAAATTAATGCACACGACCGCATTTTTGGCCACAGATGAAGCCGTGAAATCGCGCCTCTTCACCTGCACAAAACGCACCCAGACACGAAAACTAACTCCACTCCTTTTTCTGTCCAGAAAACGGTGGACTCCATGTCCTGACAGACTTTAGTTTGTGCAACCTGCACAAACACAATAATTCGGCATAATCACAAATGGTCAAATGCACTGTTAACAACCGAAAAAATACTAACTCACAAGTTTACTACCGCTCAGGCACAATACCACCTACTACTGCGCACTGGACAGAGGCAGGGTCAAGGACGCAGAGTCCCTCTCATGACGTAGTATCAGGCGATGTTGAAAAAAAAAAGCGTTTTTAAAAGAGGAGCTAAAAAGAGCCACTTTTTTCTCTGAATTTGTGCCCTTATGTTGTGTTAACCATAATAAATTCTGAATTAACTTCTCATGTGGTAATTTCAGACAAGGTTATGTACATATTTATATATTTTTAAAACAATTTAACCTGTAAAGTAAAAAGGAACATGTGTTTGGAGCACAGCAGATCTTAATGTGATCACTTCACATTTCTTTGGAGCTAAAACAAAATGCCATTCGCTGAGATTTGGAACTGACTGATTGATTGATTGATTGATTGATTGATTGATTATAGTCATTGCTGCCTCTGTTAAGTGTCAATGAGTTTTCATCTGTCTCAGTTGATGTGACAGTGGGACATCAGGTATTTTTGGCAGACTGCCTTTGACACACTATGTATTGGGAAATATTAAATCTTTTTCTGGCGGCACGGTGGGGCAGTGGTTAGCATTGTCGCATCACGCCAAAGGGGTTCCTAGTTTGAATATAATACAATACACAGGCTTCCATCAGTTTTCACAGGCTCAGTTATTACTTTGTTACCTCATTGGGTGATAGTGACGTAATTGGCATTTATTTTAATGAAAGTCTTCAAGATAATTGATTTAATTTAAACTTTAATTGATCACTTTATATTAAAAGTGACCCCACACTGGTTATCTTACCCGTTCTTAACAAAGCCAGCATTGTGATAAATGTTTGTTTTTTTTATCAGAGTACTGTTTGTCCTGATTTGGTAATCTTGAAAAGTTTGTATCTGGATCACGTTGATCCAATCAAAATTGCTTTGAAAAAGCAGTAGCCTACAACAGTGAGATGCATTATCTGATTCTGAATACCAAAACATGAGATTGAATCATTGTGGTCCAGATTTATTTTTCTGGCCAACTGTACCCAGAGGATTTGATCCAGCATGGCTGACTGAGAAAAACACTGAGGTCCAGCTAAACCATCCAAAGTGACAGAGACAGACAGACAGGCAGAGCACACTGCTGTAAGTCTGTACACCCAGTGTGTGTGTGTGTGTGTGTGTGTGTGTGTGTGTGTGTGTGTAGGAGCTGACCTCAGTCAAACAGAGGACAGAAGTAGATGGCAACAAACACTGTGAAAATAAACACTTAAATGAAGGGAAAACACTGGTGTTTTTTATCTACATTTTGTCAAATTCCACAATAGTCTGTTTCTAAGTTTTACATATAAGTCCGTGTTTTCCACTGTTTCACATTAACCCTTGAAAACAAAGAAAACGTGTGGCTGTCTCTGTATCCAGTTTTTTTATTACAGTATTAAAAACATGCCTGATCCGTCCACATCATGCCTAACGACTGTTGCTCACCAGTGGCCCCACTCACTCCTAACGACCGTCGTTCACTAGTGTGACTCACCTGACCCAAACTATGGTCCAGTGAAACTCCACTAACGAAGTATTGTCTTATGAGGGTGGTGGGTGTACACCTCCACAGAGGTTAAAAACCTGAGTCTTACTCCACTGTTTGTCAGACTAGTGAGGACTAGTCAGACTGATGCGTTGAGAACTGATGAAGCCGCTTGGATAAGAGGCGAAACGTCTTCTAGACAAAATCAAAGTCCAGTTGCCTACGATTTAATTGTTGCCAGAATGGAATTGACCTGGATAAATGAGAATATCCACAGACCTACCTGACAGAATGAGCTACTCTACTACATTTATAGAGGCTGTATGTCTGCTTCTCACACATATCTGACCTGAGTAGCTACTAAACAATGTTTTTTGCTTGGGTAGGTCATTACGAGTGAGAGGCTTGGTTCATCAGAGTAGCTCATCCTGAGTGGGTAGCCAAACTTTCAGAACACCGCCTCGCTCTTGCGATTTTATCGCCGTCCACTTTTATGATACGTCAGAGGAAGTCGGGATGAAGTCGGACACAAAACCGGCAGGCACTGTGCGGAGATTGCCAGTGATCGAATCTGCGCAGGCTTGGATCATCTCGGACGAGCCTAATGAGAAACACCTACCGACTCTTGACAAGCACGAGTCATAGCTATCTGGGTTGCTTGAATCTGTGAGAAAAATGGAGTCCAAACCCCCAAAAACTATTGTGCAGGACACACTGATGCACCTCAAATACAGGGATGCAGCTATGTTCTGCCTCGAGCTGGACAGACGCATAGGTGTGCCGGTGGTTGCTTTGTTGAAGCTGGCAGCAAAACCTGGAGACGCCTCAGAGATGATAGACCATCTGTTTTCAAGCTTCACTGAGGCTGATGCAGTGTCAGTGGCTGTGGATGTACTGAAGGAGATTGACTACGACACACTCAAACTAGGTAAAGTTTTTGTATACTCTGAACAGAAAAGTCTGACCTATCACACTGCGGGACATTTATTCCTCAAGACTGCTTGCAAATAATACACTGTTTGAAAAATTAAGGGAACCCTTAAATCACACATCAGATCTTGATGAATGAATTATTCAACTTGAAAATCTTTGCTGATGTATGTTGTATAATTTGTTGAGAAAAAAGTCAATGGAAACCAAAATCATCAACTCACTGAGGGCTGGATTCAAAATCACACTTCAACCAAGTTAAAGTATTCATTTCTTTTGAGCTTTTACATACTTGAGTGTTGTTAGTAGGAGCTGCTCTCACCATATCCTTGATGAATTTGTTTTATGTTTACCATATTCCTTATTTATAAGAGCAAATGTACTAAAGTCAAGCCCTGCTGAAAATTGTTCTTAAAAGAAACCCAACAATATATGAAAATACTTCTTATTTCAGACAACGTGAACTCAGTTATGTCGTACCTTCAACACTGTACTGCATGGTCTCCAGTTACCTTCACCATGCATTATAGTATTATTACCTCCACCAAGGAGGTTATGTTTTCGCCAGCGTTGGTCTCTTTGTCTGCAAAATAACTCAAAAAGTTATGAACATATTTTGATGAAATTTTCAGGAAAGATGGATAATGGGACAAGGAACAGATGATAAAATTTTGTTGGTGATCGGTTGAAGCACAGTGGATAAAATAATAAATAAAGTCTATCGTCTGACAGCCTCAGCAGCAATTCCAATTTCTAAAGACGGTGAAAATGGCGCCATCTAGTGGCCGGAAAGCACGTCTTGTTCTACTTGCTAAATATTGTTGTAATTCTAAAAAAAAGAAAAAAAGAAAGGGAAGAATACAAAAAAAAACATGGCGGAGGTCTTCACTCTCTGAGTGCTTTTCTAGTTTATTATTTGTTGTTTTTGAATTTATGTCTAAAGTCTATTTTTTTTAAATCTATTATCTTTTCTTTCTCTCCTTTT